TGTTAAACTCTTCAATCAAAAAAATATTTAAAAAAAAAGTAACACTGCAAACCAAAAGAAAGCAGAAGATATAAAGAAGCTTACTTAAATAAAGGGGAAGTGCACTTTACCTCTCCTAGAATATCTCAATAAAAGTGTATCAAAGCTGAAAGATCCAGAAATACCAAGTAGTCCTGCAGCCTTTGTTGGTTTATATTAAACATGTCTATTTGAACCAGCACACCTCAAGGCTATGGATGTTGTCCTTCCAGAGAGAACAGGAGTCACAATAATTACAAATTACATAACTGATCTTGCCACTACGAAGAAGTTGGTTATTTATGTACTCCTAAGAGATGTGCATTTTGTGGGAATGTTTTCCTTTTTCTCAAATTTAGCAAAAATTCCAGAATGCTTTCATCCACAACCTATAATACAGTGGTGTAATTTTAAATGGAGCAGTGTTAGAAACACTAGATCAAGACACAACATCCTTCATGATTCAGCCAGACTGCTGGCACCATTCCACTTTTTTTCTCATGGTGATGATAGGCACACATGTATACCCAATGAAGTGGAGAAGAAAGAAAAAATAAAAAGGAAGGGGGTAATAAAAAATTAATCTGACATTTCCTCCTACACTATACATTCAAAGAAGGGCAGAGTCAGTGTGTGTAAAATTCTCCTAGATACACATAAAAAAGCCATCATATGAAATATCAAAACTTTTGCTCACCTGTACACAAACGCATCGCTTGCTTAGTACAGCACTTGCAGTCATTTCTATCATGGTTAGCAAACTTTGAATATGAGTGCAGGTCTTACCTTTGTTCTCCTCTCCTCCTTTTACATTTGCCACTGTATCATGAATTGATCTCTCCTTTTCAGAGCTTTTAAGGTTAGGAGGGAATGAAGTTATAGATGGTGACTATACCTGTTTATTAATCAACTCTTCTCCTAATCAGGACAAATATGAATAGACATCACACATGGTGCTGAAGTGGGGTGTACACCATTATTAGCTTTGATGCCTCTGAAAGCCATCTGCTGGGAAACTAGTGGGCTTCCTTGTGCAGTTGGTTGACCACTGCAGACAGACAGCTGGACTAGATGGGCCAGGGGTCCAATCCAACAGGGCACTTCTTACGTACTACTGATCTGTGATTATTATTTTATTCTGCTCTTCTCTGCATCTTATATAGCAGAAAGGGAAAGAGTGTCCTTTCATCTCTAGTTGTCTTGGTGGGTTGTCTTGTCTTGGTGGATTGCAGATCAGTTGCAAAGAGGTTTATTTTCTTGAAATGACAGCATAGGAGAAAGGAGATGAGGAAAAATCTTTACCTTAAAGTAAGTTACATCTGTCTAAGAATGACATTACTGAAGACTAAAGTGATTAAACTGTTTCTCAGGATGTTTCCAAGAAGCCTATTGGCCACTGTGAAAAATTCGATTAGTTTGGATAAAGGGATAGATTATGGGAGAAGCCTAGTTACAGATATAAACACATAATCCTGAGTCTGTACTATATTGGAGATGCAGTCGTCATCACTGAAGACTTCCACCAAGTTGCTATTGAAGTATGTGCTTCTTTGCAATCAGAAAGTACAATTTAAATTGCAATCTGTCAAATGGGCACTTTTTTTCTCACCCCTTTTGTATGCTGCATATTCATTCTCCCTCTTTATATAGGTGAGATGGTGTGTGCGTGTGCGCGTGTGAGAGAGATGGATGAGAAGACTTCAGATTGTTAAAGGCAGCTTGTCTTTTTAGTTTCCAACATATTTTTAAATTATAAAATACAAGGTCTGCAGGTGCATAGATATGTCATGAATATAAATTGCACCCATGACGTATTATGCTTCACTGTGGCAGAACTTTTCAATGGCTGCCAATATTTCCCATACCATAGGTTCTTATTGTGGTATGTTCACTATTGCTTTCTTTGAGAAAGCAGCATTTACTCAGCATTGATCAAAGTCATAAACATACATATTGGAAGTCAAAGCTATGTTTTCTGATTAGATGAGGGTAGAGGTAGTATTTGTCATGTTCAGCTAACTTGTTAAGCCCTAAAGTAAGTACCAATGCCTTTCTCCTAGTGGCACCAGGTACAGCACAGCAGTTATGAAGTGATATCAAAGACCATAAATGAATGTATGCCTCAGTATGATTTCTAAACATATTCACAAGAGTGATGAAATGTACACGCGCAGGTAGCCACTTACAAGTTGAGATCTCAAAGGATGTCATAAGAAATGTGGATGCAATAAGAATCCTCTACATGACATTCAAGGGAACTATCACGAAATACTTCAATTATATTTATTCCCTACCTATGGTGGTAGACGAAGTTATGTGCGACCTTCTTTTCAAATGCTATATATTTGAAACTTTGAAATGAGATAATTATATAGGATTTTTTTGTTCATGTCTGAAACAACTCTCAGTGGGGCTAATCTTGCAAATCATTCTCTTACAGTAGGAACAGTAAGTTCCTTGTTCTTATCTAACAGCTAGATTTGAAGGAATGTAGATATTAAACAACTGTGCCACAAATAATTCAAGGTCTATATAGTACTAGCCAGGATATCATGTACAGATCTGTTATCATTTACAAACAGAGCCTCCAGAGTTTAGAGCATCAGCATTAATTCACTCCAAACTGAATTTGCAGCATCATGCAGAATAGCTCATATAAGTTATTTATCTAAGTACGAGCTGACGTAAAATAAAAGAAAGGAACTGTTGAACTATAGTGCTAAAAGCTTCAACCCTTAATAAAGATTCTCAGAAACAGGAAGCTGAATTTGAGGTTTCTCTTAGCTTCAATTACTATATTAAAAGCAGCAAGCTGGACAAAGTAATATAATTTATAACTAATTTAATCATGAAAAAATGAGGTGATTTCTCATTTTGATAGATTTAACCCAAATTATAATTCTGTAAGAGAATTATTTTTATAATCATAATTCCTTTGCATTTAGCACTCCTCTTACCAGAGCATGCTACACTTCAATAAATCCCTACAGTAGCTCTGCATTATCTTTATTATACATCAGTAAAGAAAGTGAAATAATTTATTTTCAAAAGGGCAGAAGAAGAACCAGCATTGGAATAGCACAGAGGCAAACACAACATAATTAACTGCAGGTATTCTTGGCTGATTTTACACTTCAGCAGCTACAAAAGTCAAGACTACAATCTACATTTGGAAGTGACCATGAAAAGTGTATGAAGATGCTACCTGAAAAGCAAAGAAACTTTTGAACTTTCAGAAAGGTGTTGCAAGAGAAGTAGTGAAGACACACTTGTTTATATATTTACGATCCTGGCAATAATTATAACTTTGTTCAAATAAATTGTTATAGCCTTTACTTCTATAATGTTTTTATTTAACCTTGAGGTAAGGTTAAGCACTTTAAAGATCATATGAATTATTTTCTACTGCAAAATATTCCTTAGAGAAAAGTGCAAACATGTAATATGTACTTCACTCAAGTAGCTTAGAATGCATATAATCTGCAATGCATCTGGGGGAAAAAAACAGGTTTGTATGCTTTTTTGTATTTGGCTGCCTCCAGGAAAAGATGTCCCATATTTTCAGCATATGAAATATAAAATGCAGTATGCACCAAACATCAAAACTATTATTCCATCTACCAAATATTGCAATCCATTCTTTCTTTTAATGTGTGCCTGGTTGGGGGTGGGGGAGAGAAAACAGGAAGTACAGGTTTTAAACCAAGATTTCCTTTATAAAAGTTCAGCTTTTTATCTATCTTGCTTATTTCAGACAAGAAGGAAAGGTTTGCAGGTTACAAAGAACTCTGAAAAAAATGACTCTAAATGCAAAGTATCAATCCACTGCAAGGCTGCAGTTTTATAGACAAAATTAGACTTGATCGGTAGAAAACGCCCAAAAGACTCAGGGATGGCTCCTTTACAAATATACTATTTATAATGAATACATTGATACAGAATGACTTATAAAAAAGCAAGGCAATATTTTATAGACATAACAATCAACATTACAGTAATTCAGAAAGTACATTTTTGTAGGCCGTTTACATGCTTTCATTATCAATTCACAAATTAGCATGGACTCATAGAATCAGGCAGAATCGTGTATCGTCCTGCTTAAGACTGCAACATTGAAACAATGAACAGAATCTTCAGATCTTTGTTGAATAAAAAAGCCATCAGATCTTTCTTGCAGATATTATCATTTGCAATTGTCCTACATGTGCCTTTTAATGTTGGTGCATTGTGCAAATTACCGCCAAGTGTATACCTAATTGAAAGCAAGTTCTGACATGCCGATTAAAGATATAATGGAAGTGCAATATTGGCTTTACAAATGGTCTGTTGCGTTCAGATTTTTGAATAGCCAGGAATGCTTTTGTTTTCCCCCCCCTGCTATGTGAAGAATATAAAACCATTCCAAGGTTCAGTTTCAAAAACTGCCCAAGTGAAACATGCCACTTTAAAATTTGCTTATCCTGTTGATTGCAAGTAGGTGTCTCTTCTTAGAAATGTTTGGCAAACTATTTTAGCGTGCAAAATTCTCTTCCAAACCCAGTGCTGGAATCCAGTGCTGTTTTTCTGCTGATGGCTGTCCTCCAGAACCAGGGGAGAGTGATTCAATCCCCTGAAGATCTCACCTCATAGTCTCAAGATGCCCTGAGAGTTGGGGGTGCACTCCAAAAGTGCATTTTGGAAGAGCATTCTGGGGGGATGGCAGTGGAGAAAATCAAGTTTTGCCAGCAAAAATGCATTCGTACAATATCAGATTTCACCCTAAACATTTGCAAAGATTCAAATTATTAACTGAAAACAAATTTTAAAATACCTACCAAGGAAGTTTGGGGGAAAAACTTTAAGACAATTACACTGTTCAATTCTTTTCCTTTAACTTGTCCCTGAATGTAGCCTTTTAGTTTCTATTAAAATTCTAAGCATGATATATGACAAAGATATATAAACTCATTTTGAAAAGACAAATAGTGCCAATTATTATTTCAATGTTCTAATTTATTCCTAGGTGGTGGGACTGAATTTTATATCTAAAAGTATCAAGATGGAGATATCATACTTATAATTCTAAGAAGCTACTTCAGTAGTGCTATTGTAATTTAGGTTGCTGCAAGAAGAGTCCTTCTGTCCTATTTTCCGTTAAAATCCTATTAGCTACTGTAACACACTAATATAAGGCTCATCCAACGAAGTATATCATCACTACATTGACAACAAATGCATCACATGCAATTAGGGGAGAGTTTATCTTCGTTCCATAGCAGAGGTGTGGAACCTTTTTTGATCTAAGAGATGCACTTGGCCTTTGAGCAACATGTAGAAGACATTACTTCAAAATTAGGACCAGAACAAAAACTAGATTTGATTTAATATATTAAAATTAAATTAAAGATTCTTGATATGATTACTCCTCATATATTTAATAACCTTCCCCTTCTGTCATATTAAAAATTAAACTTTGGTAGCAACTGTTGAAACAGGGCTGAGGATTTTTCCAGATATGCTAGGAAATCTACTTGAGACATTCTGAACAAATGTAAGGCTGTATTCATAAATATTGAGCCAAGATTATTTGAAGTATGGGTTGTTGAACAGAGACAAAGCATAGTCACCCTTTTATATGATTCCATTTGGTTCGTTTTTGCCAACTTCTTTCCAATAACCAGAAAAAATGGGCAAACCACAAAAACAAAGATAAGCCACAGTTGTGCATTCAGACATAGGAGGTGTAAGCTTTAAAATAACTCAAGTTCAGTTTCAAATTGTAGTTTGTTGAAAAAAGAAAGTCATTATTTCTTAACCGGGATGGATTTATTAAAACAAAAATTAAATCTGGCTGTAAGGCTTACTGTTACTCAAACCTTATTCTGGCTGTAAGGCTTACTGTTACTCAAACCTTATTCAACATGTATAACTAAACAGATCTTCATTATTGGAAGATATATATTGTCTGCTATCAGAACCTTTCAGAGAGACTTGGAAAGATTGCCACAAATTCTGAAGTTTTACCAAAAGGTGGAACTGAATGAGTATTATTACATAATGTACAGTAAACAAGAGAAAGCAAAATTCTCTACAGACATATCCTTAAATGCCTCAGTAAAAATCAATCAATCCTAGAATTTCCTCTCCAAATCTGACTGGCACCAAGTCAATCCTTTCAGTACAGTTCATAAAATCTTCCTAGATGTAACTGGTTGAAATCCACTATTTTGCCAAGGAAAGAAACAATACAACTTTTCAGGAATCATAAATTCAATTTTTAAAGTCAAAATGTCAATTATCTGTGATATATAATACTTTTTAGCCAATAATTTATTATATTTTCTTGTAAATTTATTCTCATTTAGCAAAAATTAAATCTAAGCAGGAGTTTGGAGTATCATGGATTCTGTTCCAAATATCAGAATGTATTTCAATCCTGATTTACATATTACGCTGAAGCAAATGTTTTTCAGTTCCACTGCTTTTTTAAGCTGTTTTCAATTTTTTTTAAAAAAAAGATCAGTGAATAAATAAAAAGAGTTTCTAACATGCAAGTGATTTTCTATAGAAAAATAGTACTGTAATCCTTGCAACATGAACAATTACATCAATATATTTACAGACTAAACTATCAATTTAATCTGCCCACAATTCCACTAAGTGGCAGGTGAATCCTGCCTACTATGAGCGTACTATCCTACTTTAACTCTGTAAAAACTTCTACTGAGATTCCTTCAATCCGTCCTAGAACAATTTTCAATACATGGCTAAACTTGGCTTTAAAAAGTAAGAGAAACAATTGATTTGAAAAAAATTATTTCCACCTAAAATAAAAGTGCATGTGGGCAACATATAAAACACACACATACTGAATCAATGGAACAAGTTTACAGCTTCAGCAAAAAGTAGATTTTAATCTTTTAACCACCACTATAAGCATCTTTGCATTTTAACACTTCAATTTTCAGACAGATTGCTTGTACACAGCTGAAACTATACATTATTATCAACAATTATCTAGGTTAATTAGCTAATCATATATTGACTTTAAAGTAAGTGGTGGAAAATCAATGGTGTGAATTCAGCTATACTGCCCAATAGGACTGGTAAGATTGGATTCCTTTCTCTACATTAGTTTCCCAGTGACCAATGGTCTCAGTTTCTCCATGGAGTTTCCCAATGTCTGAGAGACAAAGAGGGATACCCTTAAGAAAGAGACTTTTAGCAATTTTCAGGCAGCTTCTTCTTCCTTTTCAGCAAACAATCCCAAAGGCTTGTCAAATCCAGCACTTCCCTCTATGAGATCCTTCCAAGCCTGCTTCTATCAGCCAATTACATATGTGTAATTCTGGATCCAACCCAATTATCTTTTGTAAATCCAGTGACATCTAAAATAGCCCTTTAAGGTTTTATATCTCTACCTGCCTTTCTTAAGGGATTTATTCCTTGCCAGAGATAAAATTAATGAACACTAAAATCACCTCAGAGAAGAGATCAAGGTAGTAAGTTATGTTGACTCAATCTAAAGGAACATCCAAAACCACTAAAATCAATGGGTCCTACAAAACAAACTTAAGCAATATTTACTCAGAGCTTATTGGTGTTTATGAGTGCAACCTTCAGTAAATTGTGTTGATTTCAATAGGATAAATATATCTGACTATCTCTGATAGACCTTAATATCAAAATAAAAAAATACAAAACCCTTTTCAACAGATGAAAAAATTCTCTGACATCTATAATGAATAATTTAAACAAGAACAAACCCTTTAAATTCTAATATCCCTTAAGCAAACCCATCATAATGAACTGACACTGAAAACAAATGTATCTGGAATGTAATTGCTATGTGAAAATCCAATTAGAAATGGCACACCAAGTGCAGTAGCAAGTATCACTGCAGCATCATTAGCCCTCTGTACAGCCATGAAGATGACAGTAAACCACATGTTTTCTATTCAATCACTTAATGGTTTTTCTATTGAGCAATCACATTCTAAATACAAATGAAAAAGTGTCCTTTTTTTTTTTTTTTCCAAACTTTAATACTGAGATTGATAGGATGAGGTTAAGAGAATAAATCATGGTACTGAACTGATTATTTTGAAGCAAGTGTCCCATCTTTATAGGGAAAAGTGCATTTAGCTCAGCAGCAAAACAGCACAGCATGAAGATATTGTGCTTTGACGCAGACACTCCATAATAATGGAAGGATGTACAAGGCAAGGCAAGATATAAAACCGGAGTAACATTGTCAACCGACCAAAAATTTTATGTATACTTCAGGGTTTCAAATAAAGACACATTCATTAATTGCACAAAGACCAGGAAAAATCCTTACAATTATCTGTTGCATTTTAGATCCATCATTAATGCAATACTAAATCTTAACAGAACATGACTCTACAAATTTGTCAATTCTTAAGGTGAAAAATGTTGCTTATGCTAAATGAGGCAACCGTAAAATTGCTTCTTCAGTATGATATGCTTATAACTGATGAATTCAAAGGAACTCAAGCTTCTGTTGGACTTATTTTTTTCACTAACTAGTTACTTATATTTTTGTTATAATATGAATCAGTCAATAAAAAGCCCTCAGCAGAAGAATACAACTTCTAGATTCAATAAAACAGAGTAAATCCCCATCCCATCCCCCAATCCAGTGACATACCCTGACTGTAAACATACAAGACCATTTGTTTTAAAACTTAAAATAAGTTAAAGGACTTTCCAGAATAAAGGAAAATACAAATAATTCCAATAGATTTTTTGTCACAAAGTGTGAACTACAAGGAATGATAAAATAATTTGTGTGACTAAGTTGCTTTTTTTATCCAACAGGAAAAGGCTTGGTTTAAAAATATTTTCCCTTAAATTGATCAGCAGTTATTTGACATTATTTTCAGTGAACTGGTACCCCAGATTATCCAGATAGCCATCAAATTTACTAAAGAAAACTTTAACAAGCATTTACAATGAAAAAAAAATCTAAATGGCTATGTTTCCTCTATGAGCAGGAACACATACATGTGGTCTTAAATTTGCCTGTTTTATATTATCTATGCTTTATAATATAATATACAATCTATATATTATATTATATATACACACATACACAATACTAACATTGCAGTTTGCATTTAGTATAGTGTATGGGACAATCCATCTTTTATCCACTCTGGGCACCATGTAGCCTAGATACTATATACAGAATGACACCACGAAAGCCATTTATATTTTGTACATTATCAGGGAAGATATCCATCAGACCATGGCTCGATATGGTCCCTGCATTTTGAGAAACTGGATGATAAAGGAAGGTCCACCTGCAACAATTTGAGCTGGAAGGGTACTGAGCGGGCAGTTCTCAATGCTCATTATAGATAGTTTGCTGCAAAGAGCCAGTTCAAAAGGAAGGCTGTTCAGATGTGGGTTGTCATTTAGATACAATTCTTCCAGATTCTCCAGTGTACCTGCAAAATGGTATAAAGGCCATAATGAGCATTTTTAAAACCAATTATATTATAGTCATAAAATCAACATTAATTAATATTAAAATTTCTACTAACTGACTTGTTCTTCTGCCCATTATCAAGAACAGCAAACATATCATCTGTTGCATCCAAACAGGTTCACTGAATTCAAAGGACATTTCTAAGTTTGCAATAACAGCAGGTTTTAGTGCTGGCATGAAAAGAAAAATCCGCATGAAGCTAGAAGGGATAAAGCCAATGGTGTGCTGGAGCTGGTTCATACCAGCTCGTGAGAGCAGATTGTTAAATTTTTGGAAATTTACCGAGCCACTTGACAGCAGAGCTGAGCTACAACATCTAGTGCGTCAATCAGCTGCTTCACAGCTAGTGGTGCAGCGTAACAATGGCAATGGAGCTGGCAAAGTTGGTTCTTAAACATTTACCAGCACACTACTGGATAAAGCATTTCTTCAACAATTTAAGCCGAGTTTCAGCTAGAAGAGTATCTTCTTTTTTTCCTTACTGACATCCCAACTCCAAAAACTTAAGAGATTTATTTATTTATTTATTTATTTAAAATTTAGTCACTGCCCACATCATTCAAAGAGCCACTCTGGGCAGTTTGCAATAAAAACAAGAATAAATACTAATTAAAATACAATAAAACAGTGTTCTTAAATAAATAATGTATTCCAAGGAATAGATGGCAAATGAAAAGTTATTAGGCTACAGGACCCTCTTCAGGGTGCCACCTACCTCCAGGGCTGGTTACCCCTCCTCCCGCCCCACGCAAGGTGGCAGAACTAGGTCTTCACTATGCTATGCTATTCACCATGCTAAATGTCTCACAATGACAAAAACTTTCAAACAAACTTGCAAATTCCAAATTACATTTGCAAAACATTGCAATGAAACAAAATCATGGCTGCATTTTGGGAAACCTAATTATGTTATGCTGTGCTAAATGTCAGGACTGGTGCTAAATGAATCCTAAATATCATGACTGTTTCCCATTCTGTGTGGGAAGCTCAAAGTCTTTCCAAGGACTCTCTGCTGAATGATACCCTTGAAGAGTATTTGGAAGCTACAGCTGGTGCAGAATGCGGCGGTGTGGGCAGTTATGGGCGCCTCCAGAACTGTACATGTAACACCTCTGCTGCTCAAGCTGCATTGGCTGCCAGTCTGCTTGTGGGTCCAATTCAAGGTGTTGGTTATGACCTTTAAACCCCTTCATGGCATGGGCCCAGGTTCCCTGAGAAACCGTCTAATCCCCATTACATTACATTGACCCATCCCACCCAGTCTGGCAGGAAGGGTATGTTATGGACCCCATCACCTAGAGAATTTTGACTGGCGGGGTCCAAGAGGAGAGCCTTTTCTGCCATGGCTCCTGTTCTCTGGAATATCTTGCCCCCTGAGGAAAGAGTGGCCCCCACTCTGCTGGCCTTCTGAAAGGATGTTAAGACCTGGCTCTGCCAACTTGCATGGGGACCCAGTGGGGGTTCACAGTATTGGGGATGGCTGGTAGCCTGAGGATGCTCTCTCCACTTTTTAGTTTGCATTATAGTTTTATTTCTTTAGCTTAATTTTAACCTTTTGTAGTTTTTTTATATATATATAAATATATATAAATATATATATATTTGAATGATTTTATAGTTTTTAATTTGTAATGTCACCTAGAGTCACTTGTATAGTGAGATGGGCAGCACACATAAATTTGAAAAATAAATAAATAATCCACAATGAGAGTAGAGCAATATTCCATGGCTTTTTTTTCTCTTGAAGGCTATTTCAAACTATGCAGTTTATTGGCAAAATTGTTCTAGTCATATGCAGAGTGAAGAAACAACATGGCAAACATGGTAGAACTTTTAACTACTCCAATGGGGTCTATCTTTTTGGTTTCTACATTCCTAATATTGATCTTATGAGTGGAAAACAACTGGAATATAACAAATACTGCCAGATGCTGACATATTTTGAATATCTTATTAGTATATTAGAGCAGTATTTCTCAATCTCAGCAACTTTAAGTTGTGTGGATTTCAACTCCCAGAATTCCCCAGCCATTCCCCAGTGCTGATAGGGAATTCTGGGTGTTGAAGTCCACACAGCTTAAAGTTGCTGAGATTGAGAAATACTGTATTAGAAACACTGTAACAATAGCACCCCATGAATTTATGGATTGCATCTTACCAATTTCCTCAGGAAGCTGTGTAAGAAAGTTTTCTCCCAGTCCAAGATGCGTCAGATTGATAAGGTGACCAATTCCTCTTGGAAGAGTGCTCAACTGATTATTTGTTAGGATCAGTCTCTGGTTAAGGAATATATAAATTTAATCACCAAGTTAATACCATCTTTCACCAAAGAATTAAAGTGGGTCTCTTTACTGATATCATTAGAGCAACAGCCTTTCTCTCCAACTGTCAACAAATCATGGCTGAACTTGTGCTGCATTACTCCAAAATGTTATTGACCCTGTCACAGAACCAGAACTTTACAGAAATGTTCTGTAAAGTCACTGTCCATACGTACATTAAAAAAAATCTTTCTCATTTTTGTCCACTCTCAATATAAATCCTCACCTTTCCAACTATAGGGAACTCACAGCAACTAAGTATACAAAAGGAATAAACATGAAAGTAACAGAAATTAGAAAAACATGCTAAAAGTCCTGACTGAAGAAGGCTTTAACTCCTTTCTTAAGGCTGAAAAAGCTGGGATTACATTTTAATGCCATTTTGAGTACTTTTTAAAATAAAGATTTTACATCTATAAATGCACTGAATACATTCTATAGCTGGGAAGCAACTGAGCATCTTTCTTAAATTCTCTTCCTTACATCTCAGTAGGTATTTCCACAAAACATGACAGTGCTCAGCATTCACATGGCAACTTGAATCAGTTTATACATGGCAGTTAAAAAAAAAAAAAAAGATATGCAATCCAGTTTGGTGTAGTGGCTAAAGGCACCAAGCTAAAAAACTTGTCTAGGAGTCAGGACTGACTCAAAGGCAATCAATCAATCAGACATTTACACAGAATTAGAACTGGACAAAACATACCACATCATATAATTATTTTACCTGCAGATCTCTAAGGTATGCTATTTCATTTGGCAAAGATTCCAGCTTGTTTTCCTCTAGATCCAATTCTCTTAGTTTCCTTAAATTTCCAATGCCATGGGGGAGGTTTCTTAGAAGGTTATTTGACAAGATAAGAACCTAAAATAAAATTAATACAGAACATTTAATGAACTGGCAGCTATCCACTAAGTAGTGGTAGAATTAGCTAAGCATTCTTCAAAATAAAAAAAGCTAGAGACTGTTCAGTGTTAAACCTTAATGCCATATTAGCTCCAGCAAATATGACTAGATAGATAGATAGACAGACAGACAGACAGACAGACAGACAGACAGACAGATAGATATTCTTTGTTGTCCAAGAATGAAGAAAACATTTTCCAGGAAACTATAAAAGATCTGTGGAAAATGCTGGATTTTTTACATCCCTGTCAAGAGATCTTTTAATTTTATAAGAATGAAATTAATTTAGTTTTCCATTAATAATTTAATCACATATGAAATAATTTTCAGTTTAAATGTGAGACTGAGTAAGGACTAATTATTTTATTTATTTATTTATATTTTGAATTTCGACACTGTCCATCTCACGAGGAAGTGACTAATCTTATATAGTAAACCAAAATGCTGATCATAAAAGCATGTTTAAAAAGCATTTAAATGGTTTTTTGCATTTAGTGAAGATTTTTTTATATATATTATTTTATCCTATAGGAGTGGGGAGGGACACAAACACAGGGCAGGGTGATGGTGTGTGAAGATGAGAAAGAAAGGAAGGTGAGTGCTTACATAGGGTAAGTATACATGCCAATTACAAGGACTGCTATATCTTTTATAAACTGAACAGAAAAGAAGGAGGTGAGAATAGATTAAAGACTCCTTCCATCAATCACCTCCCGTGTTCACACATTCATGACCTTAGAACTCATATAAAAAGTCATACAACCCATGCATTTTATAGTATTGCCAAGAAAATGCTCAACTGAATATATATCATTACAGAATCACAATACAGGGAAGTAAAAAAACTGCAGACTGAGATAATAGAGATATCTTCCTTGTCCACACTTAAATAAAACTAAGTCACAATGAGCACAATAAAAGTCCTTTAATATGAAACAAAATCTGATATAAAGTTTGTTTAAACATTCCTTCCAAAAAAAGGTTGTTTCAGTGTGTATTAGTTTCATCAATTATCTGAAGAATTGGTCAGGTTTCTTAGAATTTATTTAGCTGGCCTTTCTACATTCTACTTTTTACCACCTCAAGCGAAACAAGTCCAGATACATCCTCAGGAATTTTGTTGAGTTGATTTGTAGCTAAGTTGAGTTCCACCATACTAGTCCATGTCCCAAAATCCAGGGGAAGGGACGTCAGCTGATTGTCCTGCAGTTTAACATAAATAAAGTTTAGGGACATTTTTTAAAAATTAAGGATAACAACTTGGAAATGACATTAATTTAAGCAGATAAAGAACATAAATTTCACTAGATTCTCACAAAGAAATAATCATTATAGGGTTTGGAGCTGTTTTTTAAAGAAACACTCACAATACAATTTAGCCAAGGACACCATACATTCTATATCTTAAAAAAGAAGGTTGTGATTAGTATCCATGTTAATTGGATGTCCAATTCTGAGAAAAGAACCAGTTTGGTATAATTGAAGACTTATCACCTATATAACTGCAGCAATTAAAATAGTTGGCTACATTAGCCTTTTCATTTTAAACGATCAACAATTTAAATGAAATATGTGCTTCAACAGAGTTTAGCTGGATTTCAAACAACTAGAAAAAAAATCACATCAGCACTTTAATGTTTAATTTAGGTATAATTTTTTTTTTTTTTTAGTTTTAACCAAAGAAGTTTTTCAAAAGTGCAGTCTAACCATTGTATTTTTATGGAAGATAGTAATCTGTGCTTGCAGCACCCTAATTTCAACATCATTTATCACTTAACTTACAACAGAAGAAAGCCTTTATACTGTTCATACTGTTGTTGTTGTTCAGTCGTTAAGTCGTGTCCGACTCTTCGTGACCCCATGAACCATATTGCGCCAGGCCTTCCTGTCCTTCACTGCCTCCCTGAGTTTGCTCAGTTTCATGCTCATTGCTTCAGTGATGCTATCTA